GGTGGACGTCCAATGAATCCCGCATATGCTAGGGATTGGCCTGCTCCTCGCCGTGGTGGTCCTCCTTCACGTCGTTCTAACTTCCGCGTCATTGTTGAAGGACTTCCACCTACCGGATCTTGGCAGGATTTGAAGGTGAGAATTTTTAATCCTCCTTTTCCCATCATATTTCATAGATTTTCAACGTGCAGTATGTCATAATTATAGCTTGTAATTAGTCAAATCTGTGCATTTTAGGATCATCTTCGTGAAGCCGGCGATGTTTGCTATGCTGACGTAGCCCGTGATGGAACGGGTGTTGCAGAATTCACTCGTTATGACGACATGAAGTACGCTGTACGAAAACTTGACGATACCAAATTCCGTTCACACGAGGTGAGTTTGAGCTAGTATGTTTCAAGATTTTTTTTGAGGTTATCATAGACTGCAACCCCAGAGCTTTTTGATTTATCAGATATTACTTAAGGTGTTGCGTTCATCCGATTCATATTCATAATAATTGTCGTGATAGGATGGTAGCTATGCCATACCTACCTTAAAATTTTGGAGGTGGCTCCTCATAATCGATAGTTTCCTTCCTAGCGTTATGTCACTATACCAAAAGAAAACAAAACCGATACAGATTGTATCAAAGATTTAAGAAGACAAACATCACTTTATAATATTCGCTTCCTTAACACCGCAATAAAACATAGCCGATTTATGTTTCCTTTATAGTATTATGCACATTTGTTAATGGGGAAGGTGTGCTGTTGTATTGTGCCAAACACAGTTTCTTTTTCAATTTTCTTTTTTCAGGGAGAGACTGCATATATCCGTATTCGTGAGGACACAAGCGCTGGTCCTCGAAGTCGTTCCAGAAGCCGTTCACGCAGCCCTCGTCGCTCGTCACCCAAATATAGTCCGCGTCAGTCGCGCTCACGCAGTCGTTCTCCGTCGCACACTCCATCTCGCTCTCGCAGCCGTTCGCATGAGGAATGAGCTCCTTCCGATCCACTCTGCATGCGCACCCCTGCGATGACACTGTTCAATGGTATATTTACGTTCATACAATGTTGT